AGCGCTAATTCACGATTAAGTACGTCGGATATCGAAATTTGGCTGACGCCTGCGATTAACACTAATTTGTAGTTTTTCGATTGATGCACAAGTGCCGTTTGCAATTGTTGAATACTGTTGAACTCAAACGCTAATTTATAACTGCTTTAGCGATATCTTCTGCGACTGATATTTGGTGAAATGGTTCACGTAAATCGATTCGTTAACATATTTTTCAGCCGTTCAAATTGTTCTGGCACTGGGTACTTATCTGGTTTGGTGCTTGCGTTTAATCGTTATCATCTTCGTTGGTTTCGGTCGCCAAAATATTTAATCGTAATCGTTTACTTAATTCTGTTTCGTTTACTAAATTCGATGGTAGCGGTCATTCTTTTGTTGTTATTGGATGTCCAACTGTTTCTAAAAATGTCTGAAATTTGCTGCATATACCGTCTTCCGATTTTGTTGTTGTTGTGTATAATCCTTCTCATTCATGCGGCTAATATGGGTATTGAGTAATCGGCGCTCGATCAAAAAATTGTGATCGGTCAGAAGCTCGTGAATAATTAGGCGGCAGTTTGCTGTTACGCGTGTATTGCTGCCTGTGACGATAGAACGCACGCTAGTTTTTCTGTTCTGACTTGGATGTACCTTGTGAACGACTTTTTTTTGCTAGTTTACCTAATGTATTATATCAGCATCACTGTTTTATTTTTGATAGTGCCGCATTTGCCTCTTTGTGAACGGTTTCACTTTGGTGTTGAGTCTCTTCGCGACACGCGATTTTTTCCATTACGTTTAGACGTTGTGTCCGGTGCATACTTCCATATACTATCATCAATGTCAGCTTATTTGAAGAGTGTATCTGGTGATGCAGCTAGCACGATTTTTACTGAATTGGGAAGTCGGTTTGACTTCATTATTTCAATAAAATTTTTTCCAACATCCATCGTCGCTAGATATTTAAATCGGTGATTTGCGGTTGATGGTTAATATCGCCTAACGGCCCGTACCAAATCAATTTTTCGAGTTTCTGTGTCGCCGTTACAGCAAACAACGATATTAATTCCTATTTGACGTGCTTATCTTCTTTGCACGGAGACGATAGCTGATCTTTTACGTGATGTGCGACTACGTTATCTTGATGCGAAACGATGTACTAATATCTGGTGTTATAGTTGGTAATTCGCGCACCCTGGAAACGTGAGCAACCCTTGTGCAAGATGCGGTAGCCAATCCGTGTGGAACATTAAGCCACGGCTAATGAGAGAGGAAGCTTCAGTGGAGCCACTCCAACTTATTCGGTTTAAGGGTCCCCTGAAGTCTAATTGCAGCGTCTGTTCACCAGAGGTGCGGCCACGAACAGGCGTCCGCCTTGAAGCAAGCAGCTCGCTATATAAATGTGTAAAAACTTTAATCTTACTCGCCTAGCGAGGTTGTGGGCTGGGTTTGGGACCCGCCACGTAGAAAACAGCTCTAATAAAACAAACTAGCAACGCATATGATGAGATATCCCCTTTCTTTTGACGACCCCCGAAAACGAGTTAAGGAGAACCATTTCAGTGAATGCACATGGAATGTCCAGTTCCTTAATTGCAAAGGTGCCGCTGCCCAGCTGGTTGATGTCCTCGTAAAAAAAGGCTTACGTCAAGCCCGTCCAAGTGCGATTTATGGGACAAGGACGAAAGCGAGTAGGTTCTTGTGACATTTACTGCAGCGGCTATATAAAGGAGTGCGGCCGAGTACTAAAGTCCACCCGGGTGGACGAGCGTCCCCCCACTATCCGCATCAAAGCGAAATTTTTAATTTGCGCCTACGCCCCGTCGGAAGAGAGAACGATTTGGCCAATGAAGCTTTTTATAAGCGCCTAAAGCATATTTAAGTGCCTGGCGATTTTAATGCTAGGGTCGAAAATAAAGGTATCTTTTGTACGACTGTTGGACAACTCATCCTTCACAACAAAGAATCCCCTAATGGGTTAAGGCTGATCGACTTCGCCGGGGCCCGAAATATGGTTGTCTGTAGCACAAGAATCCAGCACAAAAAAATACCTCAAGCTACTTGGCTGTCCCCTGATCGAAAAACACAACAGATCAATCATGATGGGATAGGCGGACACACATGTCTCCAGTGTTCTTGTCGTGCATACACTCCGAGGATCCAAAATCGACTCGGACCAGTATCTTGTTGCAGCGAAGATACGCATGCGTCTCTGTGTATCGAAGAACTGCCGTCAACCAACACAAGGAATCACAAAAGACTGACGAACAATTTTCTACTCGACTTGCATTCCTACTCTCTGAGAGCACTCATCAGCAACTCGGTATACGTAAACTGTGGGACGGAATTTCAAGCTCCATACGTAAAGCTGCAAACGAAACTATTGGATTTCTTAAAGGTCGCAAAAATAGCTGGTACGATGAAGAGCCGTATCGCAGTGGAGAGAAAACGGACTGCCTACCTCGCAATGCTGCGATCGACGACAACACGTGTGGGATGGGATAGATACAGAGAGCTGAAGAGGAAAACGAGACACATCTGCAGCCAAAAAATTAAGAGGCCGAGATGTGTGAGTATGAAGAGCTCAAAAATTCTATTAGAAGATACGACGACTTTCAGAAAGTTTCAAGACCAAAGCCGACTCCTGTAAGGCACCAATGCCCCAATAATTTAAAATTTATAGATAGAATACTTCTCCAGCAATCAGTATGCTAAACTCAAAACCCAATCAAAAACGATGGAAGAGACGTTCCATTACCTGACCATGAAGAAGTTCGAATATCAATCGCCCGCTTGAAAAACAACAAGACGCTATAGCTAACGGCCTACCGGCAGAACTATTCAAACAAAGTGGCGAAGAGCTGACAAGGTGCATGCATCAGCTCCTTTCCAGAACGTCGATTGGAATTTATGTGTGCTCTACCCAATCCATAAAGAAGAGGCCCCACAGTGTTCGTTGATTATAGTGGGATAAGCTTCCTTAATATCTCATATAAGATCCTATCTAGCGTTATGTGTGAGAGACTAAAGCCAAAAGTCAACAGACTGACTACCTTTTCAGTGTGGCTTTAGACCTGGTACGTCAAACATTGACCATGCACCAAATCTTGTAAAAGACCCGTGAAAAGAGGATCGACACCCTACCCCTCTTCGTCGATTTTAAAGCCGCCTTCGACAGCACGAATAGGAGCTCTCTTTACGCCGCTATGACTGAGTTTGGTATCCCCGCAAAACTTATACGACTCATTAAACTGACTTTGAGCAACACCAAAACCAGCGCCAGGATCGGGAAGGACTTTTCCGAGCCGTTCGATACCAAGCGAGATCTGACTTCTTTAATTTGATTGAAGAAAGTAAGTAATCAGAGCTTCATAGAGAAGGTACAATCTGCTATAAGAGTGTACAGCTGCTGGCGTATGCCGATGATACTGACATTATTGGCCTCAGCAGCCGCGCCGTTAGTTCTGCTTTCTCCAAGCTTGATAAAGAAGCGAAGCGAATGGGTCTTGTAGTGAACGAGGACAAGACGAAATATCTCCTGTCATCAACAAAACAGTCTTCCCATTCGCGACTTGGCTCCCACGCCGCTTTTGACAACCATAACTTCAGGATGTAGATAATTTCGTTTATCTAGGAACCAGTATTAGCACCAACAACAATGTCAGCCTGGAAATTCAACGCAGAATCACTCTGACCAACAGGTGCTACTTCAGACTGAGTATGCAATTGAAAAGTAAATTCCCTCATCGTTCCCGTCTTACTATATGGTGCGGAAGCATGGACGATGACTACATTTGATGAGTCGGCGTTAGGATTTTTAGAGAGAAAAGTTTTGCGTAAGATTTATGGTTCGTTGCGCATTGGCAACGACGAATATCATAGACGATGGAGCGATGAATTGTACGAGTTATACATTCATATAGTTCAGCGAATTAAGAAACGGCTGCTACGATGGCTAAGTCATGTAATCCGTATAGATACGAATACCCCAGCTTTGAAAGTTTTCGATGCAGTACCCGCCGGTGGAAGCAGAGGAAGGGGAAGACCTCCACTCCGTTGGAAAGTAAGTATCGTTGGTATTTTTTCTCGCAACGAGTTGCCCTTCGATGATAACAAACCAAAGTTCTGAACCATTCTCTTTTACTTCAGATACTGCATTGATTGTATTACCGAGCGTGATTACGCTTGAACTGCTCACTGACCTTTCATCTGAGAATTGCCTCTTTAACTGTACAATGAAGATGTTGAATGAGCGTCTGCTGCTCCTCTGACATGCTTCAATATTTTTGATAGTCTTTTTTGTTGTGGCCCAACATCAGTATGTTTCAATGTATATTGGGTCGCCTCGTGCAGATTGGTAAAAAGGTGGGTTTATGTGACCTTTATTGTAATTTAGGATTAAGTCTAGTCAAGAAAATGTATCATAAAAGGTTCTCTGGACGAAGTGAACGCGGTGATTGTCAAAATGTCACTGACGAAAAATTCTGGGAAATTGATAGTCTCTGTATGGGTTGACTGACAGATAGCGTTACATGATTGGATGCGGCTGCGGCTGTTCCAATACTACTTAGCTGGAAAAACCAAGGATTCAAAAAATAGCCGAGAAGTTCAGGAGAAGTTCAGTTCATTTGTACACGCGAGCCATATCTAGGTTTTTTATCATTAAATCTTTGTTATACTAAAGAGTTGTGTTCTATCATGTTCATTAAAGGGAAACTGTTACTAAAAAAGCTTCACATAAACAGAAGAATAATATTTACGTATAATTTATTAGAAAGATGCATTATAATAATTTTAGTTGAAATACTTTTGAAAAACCTTTTAAAAGAAAAAAAAATCAAATATAACTGTCAAAACAATCGACCAGCTAATTTTTACGAAATAATGTGCGGTGAAACTCAGTAAAATTCCCTCTTTGGGATAGCAAGACGTCTTTCTGTCTAACTCTTACATACTTATCTCAACAAACAAATTTTATTTAAATATAAATATTTAGACAACTCAAATGAATGAATACGTACCTCTTAGTATAACTCGAATTTCCAAGCGGCCATTTACGCAGCCTTCATCTTGTATCAATTCTTGACTAAAACTGCTATTGCCAGCTAAAGCTGGAAGACATTGTTTCTTTTGGAAAGACGCTGCTGCTTCAGGTTGTTTATATGTTTCGCAATAACGAACGGATATAGGCACTCTAGATCTTTGAACGGTGTTAGCTTCCATTCTCCAAGGTATTACTTTAAAATCAAGTAGCCGAAAAATATTTTCCTTTTGCTGTCTACAGCCAAGTAAACTTAAATTTGGCAAACTGTTATGTACTTTATCATTTCTTGTTTCATTAACCACCTTACTAGAGTTATCATCATCACAAGAACATACCGTTTTGCCAAGCGGCTGAAGCTTAGCCGATGAATTTGAAGGAGTTAAAAGCCTTTCACGAACACATACATTTCTACTAATATCCAAACGATAAGCCTAGAAATATAAATGTTAAGTTGCTTCAAATTATTTTCTAATGAGCTTATATACGTATAAAATTACAACAATAATCTGGGAAATTTTTGAGAATTAAAATAAAACTTTTAAAACACAAATCAAATTCAGATTATATAAATAGATAAATATTTTACTTTTTAATATTTACTTTGTTTTACTATATTTGCTATAAACAAATGACAAATATATAAATTTGTGTGATTTATTAGACTTTCTATACATCCACTTCAAAATTCAAATTTCTCTTTCTACCGCTGAAAAAGGCTCCACACACGGTGATTAAAATCTGCTAACCGACATAGAACAATAATTTCCTTAGACCTTTACGGCCTATCGGAACTCCCCGCAGCATGACTCTTAAACTTCCCCTTCACTCCCACCCTAACATAGTGCTTCTGAGCTTGGCGTTCGTTAGATGCAATTCTGGAACCACCTTCAACCGGGCTCTGATAAAGCCCTGGATAGAGTGGTGCGTTCGTTGCCAACTGCAACAAGAGGTCAGGCGATATTGCTCAGGTGGATACTACACGCACACCACGTCCTTTGGCGTTCTAGTCTATTAAATGTCTGACTAATTACTTTTCTTCCAAGTTTGAGGGTAATTCCCACAGCTCGCCAGACGCAATATTTAAGAGCGCCGGCTTGATAAATAGCATAGCAGTCCGACTTATGCTGGCGCTAAGAGCAGATTACACAGGGCCCGAGAAAAAGCGCGAGCCAATTTGACCGACTTTTTACGGAGTATCCATTGGTCAAGCCACTAAACACCAGTACGGCGATTGATTTATGCTCCTGTAAGAGACTCCAGCTTTCTTCCATCCGGTTAGATGTAACCAGTGCAATAGATGGAGTCACCTTAAGGTTTACTGAGGTTTTAACACACCGTCGGTGAACGCTATTTCCGCAAGGACGTGCTCTGGCTTGCGCACAAATCGTGAGTGGAGCGATGCGTACGTTGCACCATGCTGTATCCATTGGTCAAGCTTTATCTTCAACATCACTGCCCACCAACACCAACGAGCGGCATCCATCCAGCGGGTATTATATCACCAACACAGTACAACTCCCCATCCCTCTCACCCCTCAAATTACGAACATCCACCCAAGACAGACAAGACTATTATAATTTAACTGCAACGAACGGTGGAGGGAAAGATCGACGAGAAAGTCGACTATATGAGCCGGGAGCATATGCCAATTGCGGAGATCCAGGAAACAAAGTTGACCTCTCGTTCGCATCTCTTGAGCCGGACCGAATAGAATATTATTCATAAGGGCTGTGAGCGAAACCATGACAGGGCTTAATGTCCATCTTACACAACACCGTTCAGTATGGTCATCGATGCCTTCATCGACCGCAGGGATACTACCATAGAAAGTCACGGCATAGCTTTCCGGTCAGGCGTTGTCGCGATCGAAATATTTAACATATACATTGCTCCCGTTACAAGTTGCCTAGATGGATATAGTTCTGATGATATCTAATAGATTCACTATTTAGACGCCAACCCCGTTTGGTGACTTTAGCGCGTATGTTTGACATTCTAGCCTGTTAAACAACTGTATAGGAATGGATCTGGCGGAACATATAGACATTTTAACATTCTTCCCCATGAATGATACCACCCTTGCCAGAGCTGTGGGTAATTCCCAAAGCTCGCCGGACAAATAAATTGCGAGTGCAGGTCTGATAAACAGTTTAGCCTGGCTGGGCCTACCGACTTTGTTTGCGCGGACCAGCGGACACATTTAAACTTTAAAAAAACTTACTGGCCCAGGCTCAGGTAAGTTGCCGAGGACGCCTTCAGTGTACTCCCCACTCTATCAGACGTCACTGCCGGTTTGAGTTCTATTCCGCAGGATAGTATTGTTGTTGTTGTTGTTGCAGCGGTTCGGCCGAGGTCATCTAATGCGGGGTCCAGGAAACGACCTGTTTCGACGGGGTTGGACCATAGGGAGAGGGGAGTTAGATGAGTTGGTTTGAGAAGGCATGTGAAGAGGTGGTTAGTGTCGTGCGGAGACTCTCCACATGCAGGGCATACGTTGGGTATGCTGGGGTCTAGTCTGGATAAGTAGGAGTTTAACCTGCTACAATATCCAGACCTGAGTTGTTTCAGGGTCACGCGGGTCTCTCGAGGCAGCTCGAGCTCGTTGTCTGCTATAGGTGGAGGTATTTCTCCGAGTACGCCATTCACTGGAAGGAAGTCCTTGAAGGTGTTGACCGACTCCTGGTGAATCGCGTTCAGTGCTTGTCGGTACGCCGTCCTGCCCAGCGGTTGTTGTACATGTAACTTCTTCATCTGCGCCTCGTTCGTCTCCGGCGCCCAGATCGGTGCAGCATAGTTTACGACCGGCCGGCCAATTGCTTTATAAGTAGACAGCAAAGTTTCTTTGTCTTTGAGTATTTTGTTGCGGCTCTGGAGTTTCGCGGCAATTACGGTCTTATGCGGAATGAAGGAGTGCAGGCTGTCTAGGGTTACTTCCAATATTTTTGGGTTATTTACCGTCGGAAATTTTGTGTCATCCACCTTCACATTTAGTTCAAGCCTGTACTCCTTCATCCAGCTGGTGAAGAAGGTAGCCGAGGATTTCGTCGGTTGAATTCGCAACTGTCTTGCAATGAAGAAGTGGGAGAGATCAGCGAGGTAGCCGTTCACTTTCGAACAGAGGTCATCAATATCCTGGCCAGACGCCATTACCGTATAATCATCGGCATAAGAGGTTAGGGAAACTCCTTCTGGTGGTGGAGGGCGTTTCGAGATGTAAAAATTAAATAGTAGCGGGGAGAGGACACCACCCTGCGGAACCCCCTGTTTCATTTTTATGGGTTTTTATGTTACACCTAGGTAGGCCATGACCCACCTCTGCAACCCCGGCGGTAACGAGAATTCCTCAATGTCGCGTTAGTAGCACTGAGTGATTGACTGTGTCGAAAGCTTTTGACAAGTCCAGTGCTACTAGGACAGTTCGCGCGCAGGGTCGGTTTTGGTTAAGGCCATGGACTATCTGGGTGTTTATGGAGTTAAGTGTTGTTGTGGTGCTGTGCAATTTTTGGAAGCCATGCTGATGCGCTGCTGGACGCAGATGGTGAGTGAAAGTCGGGAGCAATAAGGACTCAAGTGTCTTCGCTACTGGGGAGAGGAGAGTTATCGGCCGATAGGACTCTACTATGTTGGCTGGTTTCCCCGGTTTAAGTAGCGGGACCACCCTACCCATTTTCCACACATCGGGTATCTTCAGGGTGGTCAGAGAAAAATTGAGGACCCTCGTGAGAAATTGTGCACCCGCTGGTCCAAGGTGTTTCAGCATCGGCGGGTTACACGTCGTTTCGCTTTGTCTACCGAAGGACGCAGCGTGAAAAATCGGCATCTCTTCGGGTCCGCCGAGGCGCGATCACCGAATGAAATTTCCACCCGGTCATCGCGTCGCGTCGGGTTAGACAGCGACTTGAAGGTAGCCCAGAGTTTGGTTGCCCCAGAGGAGAGGTCGCGGGTCCTTAAGTGCTCCTCCCACTTTTTCCGCTTGTGATTGTTTACTACTTTTCGAATCTCCGCGTTTGAATCCCTGATTAGGGAATTCCCGGAATCGGAGCTTCGGAGGGTGTTGCGCCTCGATGCTAATACCACCGCTTCTAACGGAAAATTTGGGCGGATTCCCGCGATTCGGCCTGCCTGATGGAGTGGGAAGAGCACTAAAAGCGTTCACAGTAAATTCCGTGAATTCAGGCCAGTTAACTTTTTTAAAGTTAAAAAATGTCCGGTGGTCCGCGGAAACAAAGTCGGGAGGCTTGTGAATCGAGATTTGTATGGGCAAGTGGTCCGATGCTAATGTCAGTATAGGTCGCCAGACTATAATGTTTATCAGATTAGCACTCTCCATAGTCATGTTTAGCGAGCTTTGGCAATTACCCATAACTCTAGTGGGAGTGTTATCGTTCATTGTGCAGAATGTCGAATCGTCTATCCGTTCCGCCAGCTCCATTCCTCTATGGTCATTTGACAGGCTAGAATGCCAAAAATCGTGATGCGCGTAAAAGTCGCCCAAAACCAAAAGGTTCTCGTCCCTGAGTCTAGCACCTATATGCTGGGCAACTTGTATATGGAGGAATGAATATTTCGACATCGCCTGACAGGATAGCTATGCCCGGACATTCTAGGGTAGTAACCCTGCAGTCGATGTCGCCATCGATAAGACGATACTGCACGGTGTTGTGCAGGATGAACGCTAAACTCCCACCGTGGTCTCGCTCGCGATCCTTGCGGATTATGTTGTATCTGGCCCGGCTCAGAAGATCTGATCGGGCGGTCAACTTAGTTTCCTGGATCGCAGAAATTGACAGATGCTCCCGGCTATGTAGTCGACTATCTCGTCAATCTTTCCCTGGAGTCCGTTACAGTTAAATTGTAAGAGTCGGGTCTGTCTTGGGAGAACATTCGTGATACGGGGGGTGAGGGAGTGGTGCGTGGATGGTGTGTGTTGCGCTTTACTACCATCGAGAACTGGTTCCGCACGTTGGTGTTAGTTGGCGGAGGGTTTGTCGAAACATGCGGGGACAGACTGCTACAGCACGGGGCAACATACGCATTGCTCCACTCACGGGTGGTGCGCAGGCCAGAGCACGTCCGAAAGTGACACCAACAAGAGCAAAGGTTGCATCTGACTGAGGTCACGTTCGGACGCTTTATAGTCTGACACACGGAACAGACAGTGCGGGGGACTAGGAGCTGCTGGGTAGCCCTCGCACGAGTGGAGCTGGTTGTGGGTAGGGATGGGGGTGGAGGTTGGAGGGAATCATGCTGCGGGGAGATCCGTGAGGCCATGGAGGTCAGCTGATTACCCAGAGTGGGTACAGGTGCTGAAGGCACTGCCGTGGAGGCTGAGGGGGCGGTTGGACGGTGGCAGCATAGGGCCACATAACTCTTGGTCCATTCCCTGTGAGTCTTAAGGCCTGAGAAGGTCTTAATATGACTCCAACCATTGCACTGGGTGCATATAACCGAGGTGGAGGAATGGTGGTGTCTCCTGTGACACACGCAGCAGAAATAGTCCGTCGGTCCAGGGTTGATTTCTACACCAGCCCTGATGAGAAGGATTTGGAGCAACCCAGCTGCAAGATGTTGCTCCATTGGCGAACTTAGACTAAAGTTCCCTGTTGACCTAAACGGGGTTAGGTCGCCGAAAGTGTGACAGTCCTTGGCCGGATAAAATCTGGGTCAACTCCGGTGCGTATAACCGGCTGTCGTGAGAGGCGCCGGGGGATGGTCATGAACGCTGCTGTCCGCTGCATCTCGGTTTGCCGAATCGCGGATATCACGGTAATCCCCTAATCAGGATCTCGATCAGAGGATTTGGCGAAAAGTAGGCAATCATCCGCGGGAAAATGGGAAAAGCATTTAAGATCCTGCTCTCTCTCTTCTGGGGCGACCAAACTCTGGGCTACAGTCAAGCCATGGTCAAACCCGACAAAATGCTACTACCGAGTGAGCCGAGTGGCTTCCGCAAAGTGGATAGCACCACGACTGAACTCAGCGTCATAAACACCCAGATAGTCAATGGTCTTAACCAAATAAGGCTAAAGCTATTATGGTAACACTGGATCTCTCAAAAGCTTTTGGCTCTCCTTATTGTTGTATAACTTATACATATATTTCTAAGCTCCCTCGTCCACAAGACGAGGCTTCCATAATTTCATGCGCCGATGATTGCTGAATTTTGGTGTCTGACCAGGATATTGATGATCTTTGCTGGAAAATGAACTGTCATCTCGACGACTGAGCAAGCAACTCCTTGGCATCTTATTGAGGCTGAACCTCTTCCCAGGCAAATCAGAAAGGGAATAATAGACTTATATATAGACCTGAAACCGATGCATCTAATCCCCCTCTCCCTCTGGTCCGAACCCGACGATACTGATATTTTCTTGGACCTCCCGGTAGATGTCTTCGGTGCCTTAGATTAACAATCCTGGCCCAAAACGGGGGTAGTTAACCTCTAGAACAACAGCAGAATTGATGACTGGTCTTTTTGACTATTTGAGTGTGGTATAATTGACACATTAAAAAGGAAATTATCTGCAGTAGTATCCCACTTTGACAACAATACATAACCCATTGGGTTAATGCATAGACCTAGTTAAAAAAAAACATTATCAGATAATTTTGTTTTTACCTGCGCAAATTTTGAATTCCCCTTTCCGTAAACTGAATTTATACCAACATTTGTTGACAAAAGCAATTGCTTTTACCACGCTTTCTCAGCTTATCAAGAAGTCGTCAACGTATAATAAAAAGGATACTCTCTCCAAATGATTAGCTGGTAGTACCTAAGTTGTTGCGCCACAAACACCTCAAGTTAACGTCGAAACCCGAGTGTTGAATTGTGGGTCCTACTTACTGTATGTCTTGAGTGATACGCCCGTGCTATAGCTAGTAATATTCTGTATGTCCGTATTGCCGCATATACATGCATAGACTCTATATTGTCTTCTCGTAGTTTAGGGGCAAAAACAAGTAATTTTTCTGGTGAACAAAATAGTCGGAGAGCTTGTTGGTTTGGTTTGTCAAATTTTGTTGCATGGCCGCGAAGTGGCGAATGTACAATAAACGACTTTGACAAGTTCTAGGTGCGGAAATTCAAACAGGCTCGTTTACATATGAATCGAAACCAATACATACCCTTCTCCAGCTTCCAAAAATTTCGAGCCAGATGTTCTAAGTCTTCGACCATTGCAGCGCTGAGTGCAAATGATGGGTCGTGTATGCTGGACCAAAAATCACCCAACCCAAACGAATACGCTGATCGCAGTATTCTCAGCAAATCTGTATCAAAACTAAAACATCCGTCAAGGTGTTTTAAATAAAGGCAGACTATTCATAAAATAACTCGAAATATTGCAGAAATGCATACCCTGTGTTTCTTTGCTATTTCAACATTTTTTTTTTAAGTTTTATAAAAAATAGACAGCATTTTAATTTCAAATTAAATGAAATCAAAAATTTTAATACCATTATAAAAAGCTTTCGGCAATACATTGTACTAGGTTTCTCTCACCACCTCAAGCAGCACATCGTTTTTTACAATTTTCAACAACACAATCTTCAGAGGGTTCTCAATCAGATCTAAATCGAAAAACGCACCAATCTAAGACCTCTTAAGAATTTTAGTTAGGTTTGTTGTCATTACCCAGTTGAGATATTCGTTTTTTCACATTTACTACTAATTTTTACATCTTTTGAAATGGTTGGAGGCAATTCTTCACTCACTTGTTATGCCTCATAAATATTGAAATAGTAAATAGTAAATTACTGCAAAATTTCAAGTTGTTTCATCGAGTAATTTAAATTTATTATTTGAAACACCATGAGGGGTGCTTAGTTTCGGCCAATACAGTATATAAACAAGTACAGTTGCTAATAAAACTTTGAGTATCTGCAACCACCTGATAAACACTATTTAGACGGATGTTCATTCCTTAAATAATATGAGTAAGCGTCCGAAAGGACCGCCGGAAGATTAGCAACAGCCATGATTACCGACAATGCATCCTATTGTCGACTAGCATATTCATCATCAGCAACGCACGTAGAGACTCGTGGACAGTATATACAATTGTAAGCAAGGATGCCAGTGATTCTTCTTTTTAAAGGACAAATCGGTCCTTTAATGCACACCCTGCTTCTTCATAACCAAAATACCGCCAACCAAAGGAACATCTTGTAGATTAATCGCCCTTCGAAGGTTTTCCAATTTGTATGATTTCGGGTAATTCGCTTTGTGGACAAAAGTTTCCAATTCATCTTAAAATGCAAGCTAAAAACTCATTCACCCATCGACAAAAGTCGACAAAAGAACCATTAGAAACTATATTATGTCTAGTTTGCACGTGCTGATTTTTTTTTTCAAAAATTTTTTGACGCGATTCAACCTGAACCATACTACGTCATATATCATATATCGCTCCCACGATTTCTCAAAATCTGCGGCATTTCCATTACGATAATCACTATCAGTGAAACGCTGTAAACGAGACTAAAATGACTTTAGTTCCTGCTCCATTTAAAAACTTTGAATGTATACTATTAATTGCGTTAGTAGCAGTCGAGCGCCTGTTCAACGCTACTTTATTATTGACCCAAATGTTACAAACCAAATTAAATAGTTAGTTGTTCTTCTTGTTAAACTTTGTTAAAAGAGAAAAGATTTTCATGCAGTTTGTCTAATAATATCAAGTCGTGATTCGAAGATAGAAAACAGAGAACAATGAAATGATGATAATAATAGGGAGAAGTCTGAAAATATTAACTAGCGACTTTGATAGCTCAACTTTACGCAGTAAAACTCTGTCTTCTTACAGAAAATGCTGATAGCCACCTCTTTCTAATTGGCTAGATATTTACTTTGTTAGTAACCTAGATGTTTGAGATGTTAATATTAATCGTTTGGATATAGATAGTTTCCTATATACACAAGTTGTAGGTAGATTAAATGTAAGATATTCAGGGGTGTTACAGAATCAGATTTTTATCAGAATCTCAATTAAAACCGACAAAAATTCCGCTCAACGGGTTACACATTTGGATTCTTGATTTCCATATTGATTTCATTTGTCAATTTCATGTGTTACAAAAACTGATTTATATGTTTAAATGACAGAACTAAGCCGACAGTTAATCTTTTCAAGTGGAAATTTAAAAAAAATAAAGGCCGTGAACAATGGGTTTTACAACCAGTAATGCCTGGAATACGGTACTTGGTGTAAAAATATTCACGATATTTCACTCATTTCTAACTTTAACCAGCGTGGGAAAATCAACAATTCAAAAGCCTTCAGCACATATATTATAACCACCGGTGCTATAGTTCGTGCTATGGAGACATTTGACATTGCTAATAGACTGCCTTCTCTCAAAAAACGCAATGTACCTGCAAGTTGGAGCACAGGTGGGTAGACTCTTCAGGCTTCTTTGTTAATAAGATGTTAGTTATTATAATATTAAAATCCCTTCTATCAGCAAAAATGCTATCTCATGGTAGAAGTCATTTTACTTATAATTAAAACTCACAAATTCGTTGGCGCCAGTACAAGAGTTAATTTAAATTGCTGGATAATTCGCACAAGCTTGTTTCCAACTGATTCGAAAATCGGGTTTGCTTATCCCCAAACAAAAAGAGAAATGAAGCCGGTTTCACAACACAATTTAACACAGATATTGATTTTCAATAATTTTCGATAAATAAGCAATTCAGTGTCGGTTGCTATAAAACCCCTGATATAGTTAAATAAATAGTTTGCTTAACACGTTCGCGCCGGTGTAGATTTTCATTTTCTTTACTATGAGGCGGCTCAAATTAATATCGCGTTTGACCTGGCGGCGCGTGATTATTGCCGGTCTTAATCCGCAGGGACTAATAATTCAGAACACAATAGAATGCGTACCGCCCGTAACGCACGCCCTCCGACAGGACAGGCCCACTCCGCCGGATGAGGCAGTTAAGTGCGGGCCACCGGTAATCCGCGCCGGCGTGAACGTGTTAAAGTACACAAATGTCGTTTTTGGAGACTACACATATGTCAGCAAAAAGTTAGAAGTAATGGATATCGTACAAATTTTAGTCTAGTAGAGCTAGAAATTGTTTCTTAAATATTCGTATATATATTGAATGCTTACTATGTTATCAAACGCAGCTTGCTGTATAAGCGGTGGCTCTAAATCTTTGCGCAGTATATTACCAATGGCCGGCTCCGACCAACATCGTGGAATAGATTCTTCCAAATTTGAACAGTTGTCAATACCCGCAATATTCAAGTTGCACCTGTCAGAATCAGACATTTATTATATGATATAATTAAGTTTACATGCATAAATTTTAGTGAACGAGTCAGTAAATCAAAAGTGATCAGCTTCACCGAAGCGTCATTTAAACTTAACGTTTCATGATTACGTTTACAAATAAATTGTTTATTGATATGCTTTGAGCTCGTACTGCTAAGACCTATCTTTACGGAGAAAGATTATGACATAAATTTTACGAAAATGACAACCGGAGAAGGCTTCAAAATCTTATCATACCATAACGGCATAATCTCATTAATATAAGTATATAAGATTCTGTCTTTCACACCAACATTTTGATCACACTTTGAGCACAGCAACCCTCCAATGAGAAGACAGGTAAACTATGCCCAGCGGTTGATACTGTTACGATTTTACTAAATCAACCTCGATTATTTTCTAAATCCTTCGGGTACGATCTCTGGATTGTTAAATAAAAACTCGCCAATTAATTTGCAGTTTCTTTCGTTATAAAGAATTTATCTAATGTCCTTTATTTACTCAGTAATTCACAATTCAATTACAATGCACTTTACTATTTACAATCACTTGCATCAACTTTCACAATTTACTCTACTTAAATGTAATTCCCAACGCGTTCACTTTACGACTTCACTGATGTTAACGCCAACCAGTTTACTTTGTCACTAACTTGACTTGCAGCTGAGTGTCGCCTTTATATAGCAGTCGGCTGCTCGCAGACGAAAGCGTAGAAGCATCGAATTGTTCGCTATGGAAGGTTCTTGTTTTATCGTTTCTAGAACGTACTAGTTATCGGCTTCTCTCTTTCATCTGACATTCGCCTCGCATTTTCGCAACAATACTTTCTCAAGAGTTACCACTATTTTTCTTTGACTACCTCAAATCAACTAGAAAAATATCATTTTCTATATAACCTTTCCTAAATAGACTTTGTAATACATACTATCAAGTTGAGTTATTTGTAATATAGTGTAAAAGTAAACGAAATATGGTTGACTGAGATTTTTGACACGACATTATATTTTAATTAATACAATTTGCCAAGATATTTTACAATTAAATTAAAAAAAATTAGGTGCATAAGGATTCCTGCTTACTTTTCATGTATTGGCTTCTGTGACAGCTTATTTTCTTTTCGTTTTACTGTTTCTTCACCGAGTAAATCAGCTGATTCTACACTGTATATGCCTCGTAAAGATTCGACTCTGTTCATCGCATTTATTGCTAAATTGTCTGCTTGTGGATTATTGGTTTTTTGTACTTTAGTGTCATCAGACAAATTCGGCTGTTGTTTAATAACTTTCGCGATAGATTTATGATCTGGACTCTGCAAATATATTAATATGTATAGATTGGTTACAACTGTTATTTATTAAGTACAAAATTAAAATCAATAAAATACCGACTTTTGTATAACATTATTTATAGAATATAACTGGTGTCAACATTACGTAAAATAGCGCACCAAAAGATTTTCCTTTTCTGAAGTTAGGGGGAAACTTTTCCATTATGGTTCCAGGCTTTGGGAAAAACGAATTATAAGGGGTGGTAGGGGGTTCTACCCTCTCTCAGAAACCGAAAACCAAACCTACCGGAGACCTTTAGTTTTCGAGATATTTACATTTAAAATAGCAAAAAAATCGAATTTTTACCCTATTATTTTGTACAAAGTGTCATTACGGTGAATTTTGGTGTTGCCACATATAAAAAAGAAATTCTAAAATAAAACAACTAGAGTAAAATTTTTATACTTTATATGTATATTTGACCGCTTCTATAATTTTTAAGAACGGGTCTTCCCTGTTTATTTTTAGGCGAAACTCCTTTGTAAATTGGCGGCCTTCGGCCGCGCTTTTGGTTGTAACCCTTAGCCGGACCAACGCCGGCTTCGCCTTGCACAATATTTTTAGGCGAAACTCCTTTGTAAATTGGTGGCCTTCGGCCGCGCTTTTGATTGTAACCTTTAGCCGGACCAACACCGGCTTCGCCTTGCACAGTATTTTTAGGCGAAACTCCTTTGTAAATTAGCGGCCTTCGGCCGCGCTTTTGATTGTAACCCTTAGCCGGACCAACACCGGCTTCGCCTTGCATAATATTTTATGTCATTGCTTTCATGAAGTATAAAAAATGTTTTTAATTTATAATTGCGTAAATACAACCCTGTACAGTATTGTATTTTTATTTTTATTCCGTACGGCAACACCCACTTATTGTTATTGTTGGACATTCATATTGAAAAACAATATCGAAATAATATACAAAAATAAAATAATATTTTACTGCTAACCAAGTGAAATAAAAATACAACAATTTTTAGTAATCGCATGTGAACAGATTAAAGTTAGTATTTTGCATCATGTATGTTAAATAAGTGCACGTGCTAAGTAGTAATTTGTGATGAAAGTGTAAACTTATTAACAACAAATTATATATAATTGATAAACATTTATGTGTTAATTTTAATAAATAAACATAGATTAGATCAACAGCGAAAACTCCTGAAAATTTCAATAAAATTGGTCAATTAGTTTGGCTGAAACAAGCATTGGAACCATAATGGAAAGCGCAGCCAAGTTAGGTGGCAATCGGAGCCTTAGGGCCGTTTACACCATCTCCGATTAAGTACTTAGTAATAACTTAATCGGAATTTCATAACTTAATCGAAAGGTATAACATTAGCACTTGACCAGAAGATAATCTGACAGCTGGAAATTGTAAAGTAGTAAATAAAATAGTTTTCCGTCGTTGGCTTTAAAAAAAAATTACGATCGAATATATGGAACGCACCGCCCATCTGGCTGCGTTGATTCGGATGCGTATTTATAGGGAAAGAACGTGCCGCGCATAACTATTTTTTTTTTTGAGAAATATGATGAAGAAATTTTTATTCGAAGATTTTGTCCTTCCAAAAGAAGTGCAAATTACGTTTTCGAAAAAAATAGAAGGTAAAGTTAGAAGCAGCACTGAAAGGTTCGTTAAAATAATGTGCTTTGAGTAAATAAATAGTGTTGATAATTTTTTTGATTTTGCAGGAATAAAGCGGCCTTTAACATTATGATTTTATGCATCGGGAAGGGCGCAATAAAAGTGGCGACTGCCAGATGGGTGGTAAATAGTATCTATTGCTACCGCGGCACTTGTTCAATAATTCCTTAGAACACGCGAAAGCTGGTAAGTCGAGACCACAATGCGCACATTTTACCGTCTTTAAAGATGCTGGGGCTGCTTAAATTGCACTCATGTCAGAATCCAATCAACTGGTGAAGAAAATGGCGAAACAGAAAAGGTACTTGTTAAATGTAAAAAATGGACTTTTTATGCGGGTGACCTCTCTGGACATGATAGCATTATTTTTATAATAGCTGCCTGAACCACCGGTTTGAGCAACACGAGCTAACTGGTTACACGGGTGGTACTGGTTATGGTTTTTACAATGAATCTCAAGTCCATACTCGAAATTGCTTATCGAGGAGTTATGGATTGAAAGTTTCGTTCAGCACAACTATGAACATCATTGTTGCTGTAGAGTGTTGCACAATTTTGCTATATAGAGTTCAAGAAAATGAACGAGCAGAAACCTCCGTTGATGCCGAAGTAAACATAGCTGAGGTGCATGGAAACCATATACATAAACCATCAAAGTTCTTTTTCCCAAATAAAAATATATCAAATAAGTTTAACTTCATTAAATAACATTTTTTTCCCATAACCACAAAATAAAATTAAAAAATAAATAAAAGAGAAGACGAAAGATCTGAAGAACTACTCAAATATACCGCGTGGAAAAATGTAAGCAACTACCAGCTGTCATGCTGTTTTGATGTATTTACATCGCAATTTTTTGTGAATTTACTTTAAAATATTCATAACGATCAAACAAACCAGAAGTTTAATAACCATAACTTAGTGCTAGGAGCTTTTAAAGGAGTTGAATGACTCTTGGTGAATGGCTTTCAGTGCTTGTCTGTACGCCGTCCTGTCTAGCGGTTACTGCACATGTTGCTGGATTGTGTCCTTTAGATCTAGTACTCCCTTTTTGAAGTGCCTTGGTGGAGGTTCAGCTTCGCTGTGCAAGTGATACCCCGGCGACATCAGGAGGTTTCCTGTCGCAGTCCTGAGGGCGGTGTTCGGGCAAGCCTGTAGTTGCCAGCAAAGTTTCTTTGTCTTTACTCCAGGGGCTGCCGGCTAGCGCGTTCGTTGCGGCTCTTGAGTTTTGCAGCAGTTGCGGTCGTATGCGGAGTGTAGGAGTACAGGCTGTCTAGTGTCACTTTAAATATCTTGGTGTCATCGACCTTCACATCTAGTTCAAGCCTGTACTCCTTCGTCCAGCTGGTGAAGAGGGTAGCCGAGGATTTCGTCGGTTGTATTTTTAGCTGTCTTGCAGTGAAGAAAAGAGGAAAATCGGCAAGGTTTCAGTTCACTTTCGAACAGAGGTCATCAATACCCTGGCCAGACGCCATTATCGTACAATCATCGGCATACGAGGTTAGGTGAACTCCTTCTGGTGGAGGTGGGAGTTTTGAAATATAAAAATACACAATCGGGAAGAGAACACCAACCTGCGGAATCCCCTGTTTAATTTTTCTGGGTCTCGATGTTTCACCTCGGAATATTACCGATGATTGTCGACCACTCAGGTAGCCCATGACCCACCTCTGCAACCCCGGCGGTAATGAGGATTCCTCAATGTCCTTTACTAGCACTGAATTATTGACTGTGTCCTCAGCTTTTGCCAAATCCAGCGCCACCAGGACAGTTCGCGCGCAGGGTCGGTTTTGGTTAAGGCCATGGACTATCTGGGTGTTTGTGGCGTTTAGTACTGTTGTGGTACTCTGCACTTTTCGGAAGCCATGCTGAAGTGCTGCTGGACGAAGATTGTGAGCGAAGGTCGGGAGCAGTAAGGCCTCGAGTATCTTCGCTACTGGGGAGAGGAGAGTTATCAGTTGATAAGACTCACCTTTGTTGGCTGGTTTCCCCGGTGTGAGCATCAGGATGTTTACTCCGTCAGGGCCGATGGATTTGGAGTCTTTCCTCTGAATAAAATTTCCAGCCAGTCACCGTGCCTCGTCGGGTTAGGCAACGAGCTTGGTTACCCCAGAAGAGAAGTTGCAGGTCCTTAAGTGTTCCTCTTACTTTTTTCGCTTATGTTTGTTGACTACTCTACGAATGTCCACGCTTAAATCCCTTAAGAGGGGATTCCCGGGATTGGAGCTTCGGAGGGTGTCGCGCCTGGATGCTAATACCGCCGCTTCTGTCGGAAAATTTGGGCTAATTTCCGCAATTCAGCCTGCCGGGATGAAACGCACGGCAGCGGTTACGACGACCCTGCGCGGAATAAGCGCTCACCAGTGGTGACGTCTGATGGAGTGAAAAGAGCATTAAAGACGTTTTCAGTGAATTTCGTGAAGCCGGGCTAGTTAACTTTTTTGAAATTAACAAATGTCCGGTGATCCGCGGAAACAAAGTCGGGAGGCTTGTCAATAGAGATTTGTATAGGCATATGGTCCGATGCTAGTGTCAGTACAGGTCGCTAGACTATACTGTTTATCGGACCAGTACTCGCAATTGTCATATACGATGAAATTTGGCAGTTACCCATAACCCTGATGGGGGTGTTGTCGTTCATTGCGCGGAATGTCGAATCATCTATCTGTTCTGCCAGCTCCGTTCTTCTGCGGTCGTTTGACAGGCAAGAATGCCCAAAATAGTGTTGCGCCTCAAAGTCGCCCAAAACCAAACTGTTCTCACCCCTGAGTGGCGCACCTATATCAGAGGTGTATCCATCTAGGGAACTTGTAACTGGAGGAATGTATATATAAAATATTAGTAGTATCCTCGCAGTCGATAAGGCGATACTGCGCGGTGTTGTGCAGGATGAACGCTAGGCCCCCACTGTGGACTCGCTCGCGATCCTTGGGGATTATATTGTATCCAGCCCGGTTCAGTAGAGCTGATCTTGTGGTCAACTTTGTTTCCTGGATCGCAGCAATTGACAGATACTCCCGGCTCATATAGTCGACTATCTCGTCGATCTTCCCCTGGAGTCCTTTGCATTTGAATTGTAAGAGTCGTGTCTCATATTTTATATATAATATAATAAAGGGAAAAAGTCACTGCGAGCCTGGTCCGGACTGTAGGGTGGATGATCAATTTCTGTAAATCCAGTAACTTTTAAGGCATCCAACCCGAAAGGTGTGAACGGGTGTGTTGTCAATACTGCGCGCCCTAACTTGCCACTTTTTTTCTGTACGACTGCCTAACGTACCTGATTCACCAAATTAGCGAAATACTTCTCGTGGGTGCCTCTAGTAAGTAATCAATTAATAA